TTTAAGTTGAACAATCGACGCATCAAATAGACTTTATTTGAAGCAGATGGCTTCTCATACATATTTGATAACGCCTTCATCAGGCCTGCAGTGGTCTTCTCTTTAATGATGTTAAACGCCACATTTTGTGTTAGCGTCAAACGAATCACACCAAGAGCTTGGCGATCTAATAGATCCCAATCCGCTTTGGACATAGTCTCCGGTTTTACCCCGGTCAGAGGTAAGTGTAATTTTTTCTGGTACAAATAGTCCTCTATTTGCATTTTCCAAAATCCAAAATCTTTGTCATTGAACTTGTCAATCTTACCCTTCCCTTCTTCCGATGCCATTTTTCACAAAAATAATTTATGTGAATAATGCTTTTGAATAGTAACGATGATCAATAGTGTCGCACTATTCGTGTGAATAGTACCTGCACCAATACTGTACTTTTCTACCAGGATTACACTGTCTGTGCTCTGATACCAATTGTTGAGGAAGCGTGTCAAGATAATAGAAGGAAAAGGATATTTAGGAGAGAAACAATAAATTGCACAAGACAAGACAAGACAAGATTTACGTGGTTCGGCAATTTTTGCCTACTCCACAGCCACACAAAGAATAGCTCTTTATTAATTGAAGAGAGAAAGAAGAAGTTTTGGGATGATCTACAAATGAAAATGTAGACCCCTATTTATAAGCATTTGAATGTCCTACCGAGGTAAGTGCTTACATCATAAGAATGTCGATGTAAGCGCTTACATCATAAGAATGCTAAGGTAAGCGCTTACATCACAAGAATGTCGATGTAAGCGCTTACATCATATTTTCATCTCTTTTTGATTTTTCTTTCTTTTGTTTTGTCTACTTTCACATACAACAACAGGTTTGGTCCTATCAGGCAGGTATAAAATCTGTTGGGAATTCGTGTCGGTTTAATATTTTCCTACACCAGTATAAATGTAACTACTGCATATGACATAAAGAAAACATAAAGTCAAATAACAACCTGAAGTTGGCAGGTTCTCCAGGTAAAGGAAAAAGAGGAAGAACAAAAATGCAGAATTTCATGATTCGAAAAGTTGTGAGAACATTAATTCATAATTTATATGCTGTGAGGGGTAGCAGCCATAGAAACTGGAAAATTCTTGGTACTTCATTCTTACCTCCAACAACATTATAGAAAATAAACCACGGTATCCACAAAACTAATGCTGTACAATATAAAAGAAAATTTTGTTTATGCACTTCTAATAAGAGAATGTAAACTTATGTAATAAGTCCCCATAGGTCTACCTAGCATAGAAGTACACTTCATTATCCCTCAAAAATGTGTTCTGAGATGTATATTACTAGAGCTCAAAACTGGATGTAAGTCCTTAAGAAATGGAAATGCTGAACTATATTTAAAATGCTAGAAAGTACGGAATCGAAGAGGGAAAGAAAATGAACAACAAGAACGGAACTCTTAACAAAGTGAGGCAACTTTTCATTACCTGCTTGTTCAAAGTCTCTCGAGTAATAAAAACACTCTGCAGCTGATATAAGTATTCCAATGGAATAGAATATTTCAGCAGCCTTACGTAGGTAGGTGCGAGCCTCTTCCGGGTTCGAATCACGAACTCGCTCGGCATCTAAACTGAATAGCTCTGCCTTTGCCCTTTCCGCCAAATTCTTTTCTCCTTCTTTTTCAAAGCACAGGAGTGCCATATCATATTTTTTGTCCAACAATAGCTGCATGATAACATCAAAGCACTTTATGAGGGCCAATTAATGTTGACAGGTACATATAGCAACACAAGAATGAAATTTGAACAAACAAAAGTTCTAATAGCAATGGAACAAGGCAAATCAGCTTGACCTTCATTCCCTGTGACTTCCACTCCTCCGGCGTGCTCGAAGTTTGCATAGCGTGTGCAAGTGAATCATCTATCTCCCATGTTTGCACTAGTTTTGACCTTCTCCGGTAGTCAAACATGGGTTCAGAGTATTCTTCTGAACTTTCACAAATCCATAACTTTTGCCTTGTTCGGGTGATAGCAACATAAAGCTGCTTTAGTTCAGAACACAAGACACTGTGTCTTTCTACAGAGAAACTTGGGAATGACAAAACCTGTGCGCCTCGTTCATTCAGGAACTTATAGATCACTCTCCACTGATTTCTAAGTGGCGACGACTCAAAAAAATTGTACAGCAGTACATCCTACAAAAGATCAAAGTAGGAAATAAGACGATACAGGGGAATTCAACAGAAAAGAGAATGAGCTTTAGCAGAGGATGCAATCTAATCAGCAACTTTTTAGTGTTTGTGCTCTTCAAAGGACACATTTTCTACTTACCACTGTTTGCTACTCAAATAAAAATTTGGTTGAGCTATTAGTTCGTTTGGCCATCTCTCTTACCAGAACCAGATTCTTCGTTCAAACCCATTTCATCCCTCTCAAAAGTGAATTTGCAATAATGAGCCAGGGAATGTTGCCTTATACGTACCTACACCCGAATCTTCTTAAATTTACCTACTGACTTTTCAGTCAAATGAACCTCATATGAGTAATATACAGATTTACATGCATTAATAACCTTCATATGAATAGTACTTTAAAGAAGTACTTGAATTATAGACTTTCCACATGACAGCAATTATATGCAGTTTATCATTAACGGCAATCTATTGCATAAATGTAAAATTAACACAATGGCTCTGACAAAAGCACATTGACTTTGAAACTAAAATGTAGGCAAGTATTTACAGGAAATGGTGAGGGACACATTACAAAATAAAATCCAAGATAGTAGCAATCCAGCCAAAAACTGTCTTGCCTGACCTCTTTATTTGCCTTGATGCACATGCATCTAACAGGTCAACAACTAATCAACCTTCTATGCTTCAAACCTAAACTAGTTGGGGTTGGCTATATGAATCTATATTCGTTTATCTAGTCCAACTCATTACAATACTAAATAACTGGATTATCTCTTAAAGCAAATTATGGATTCTTTGAAACTAAAGATTCTCTAGACCTCTGATCTCTTATAAAAGACTAAAAATACTTTGGCAAACACAGGACCTAATACGAGTGCAACATAAACCTTAACAAAGCCTAGTCAGTACCACCAATATGGCTCATTGCTTCCACTATGTTCTGTTCTTAGATAAGCCCCGCATTAATTTCAAAGATACTTGTAACTGCAAGGTAATGCACAAAGTCACATGTGCTTCATTTGGATCCTTTAAAACACCGGAAACTAGTTAGATATTGAAACAGCCTCCCTTTCCAATATTCATGTATCCGTCCATGCACTATTAGGATTAAATATGCCGACTATCATAAAAAAGAAAACCAAAAAGAAAAAAGACGAGTTAAGCCAACTGAGGACTTGCCTGAAACTCCAAGCCTTTGGATTCAGCAATAGTCAAAATAAGAGCTTTCCTTCCAATATAATTGGAGACTTCCTTCTTCGCAGACTCATCACGCACTAATATGACCTGCTCTGCACCAAAACCTATTATTTTTCCCCCAGTACTCTCACTATTTCCAAAAATAGTTATAATTGCATTTTCATCAGCTCCAGGCATAGGCTTGAGCAACACTGGAGCCACACCACATGTAACACTTGTCTCAGATTCCAAGATATCAATAGACTGAGGGAAGTAATAATGAAGCAGAGTGATTACACTCTGTGCCAAACGGAGTACACTGCTATGTGTCCGGAAGTTCTGAGTCAACTTAAAAAGAGGTGAGACATGTCCTTTTTCTTTTCTGTTGATGAACTCCTTGTAGAATAGATTGCGAACGTCTTCGAATCTAAAATCTTCTCTTCTACCAATTGTCTGTGCTGTATCCCCCGAGAAAACAAAGCCTTCGTCGACATTTCTACAAACATATTTGAGAAGACCTATATGTCTCAGTGGGAGATCTTGAACTTCATCCACATAGACAAAATCTACTAGGTAGTGCTGATGCTGATTCTTCAGTCGAATATGAATATCATTAACGAAATCTGATAAATCATATTCACCACGCTCCAGTTTCATCTTCTCATAATTCTGGAAAATATGGTATATTTCCTCTCTTACTTCAGCACCTATTGTCGAGGCCCTATATTCAGACATTGAAGTATATTCATTTTTGCTCAGTTTTCCATTATCTCCAATTATCAGCCCTCCTTTTATTTGACAAATTATTTCACTAAAAACTCTTGAGGGATCAAGTTTCTTGGTCAATTGACTGTTGAAGTGAGGCCAATACCAATTACAGAAACGGTCATAGCTGATCTCGCCATCTCTCTCGAATCTCTCGAAGTAGGAAACGCCTATCGTTCCATCGAGCATCAGCAAGAACTTTTCAAACGTAAGCACTAGAGGATAATCTTCCTCTGGGATGCCAGTGAAAGAGTTTGGTATCCCATCAGAATCATCAACCACAACCACATTGGTTTCTGGTGTATCACTACCAGTCCTGCGCAGTAAAGAATCCCAGTAAAATATCAATTTTTGACTCAAACCAAAAAAGACGTAATTTCAAAGACTCCCCCAACTTTGATTTTTATTACACTAATCTCTCTTGAGATAGTTTATAATAATGCTAAGTCCCTAACATTACTGATGCTAAGTCCCTAACAAAGGATATATTTTTAATTTAAGTATCTTCCAGAAACAACATTAAAAAATATGGAGGATAAATCCTACGCTTAACAAATACAGAAAAACCTAAAATAAAACTTATGGGTGTAAAATCAAGTATTTCTTAAAAATCAACATTTTCCTCTTAGTTTTAGTTTCAGCTATACACATTCTCCCCCTACACTTTGGGTCATCAAATCTATAGAGCTAACCAAAAATATTTTACAACCTTCTTCACAGGGGATGATTCTATATATGAAAATAATACTACATATATCCTTATAACCTAATGAAAATTGGATCTACAAGTGTTCATATGATTGCAATAATTTTCTTTTTTTTGAAGCATGCAAACCTTTTTAGTCGAGCTATATTTTGTTTGACGACGTGACACAATCTCGGACTAGCGGTTAGAAAGAGCTGGCGCACGGTCTCTCCTTGACTCTCTTTCTGCTCCTTTTTCTGCCATAACCTTCTTACCAATATTTCAGTTTTTCCCGTGCCTCAGCGACCAAGAACAAAACTACTCCGAGAACATTGTAAAATCTTGTTCTGTTCTTCACTAAACTCAAAAGAGTCCATGAAGTAAAAAGATGAGAAAAGGAAAATAGAGGCACAAACAGAGAAGAAAGTGGTGTACTACAACTATTACTACAAGAATAATGTGGTATGAGTGATTATGTTCTCACTTTTTCGTTCCTCACTAAATTCAAAAGAACCATGAGGAAACAAGCTAGCACAAGGAAAATGGAGGTGAAAAAAAGGCATATGTACTACTACTGCCACAACTAGTCTTTCTCCATTTTCTTTTTTTTTTGGTTACATTTTCACTTAATCAGCGTGGTGATTACTAGTACTAGCTAAGTAGTATTTGGGTCTTAATCCAAGTAGTACAATATTACTATCTTTTCCCCTGTAGCATTTCCTCTGACGTGTCTTTGTCATCTTTTGTCTGAGTTTTTATTTTAGACGTATTTTAATGGCTAATTAATATGAGAACATTAATACTGAAAGTTGTTAATGTTTTGTAGTTGATGCTATGAATTTACGTGGAATGTTATTTTGCATACTAAGAGCAGCATAGGCACATTAACCTTGAGTGGGTGTGGCTCATGTGGAAGACAAATTGCGGGAACCGAGGCTGAGATGGTTCGGACATGTGAAGCGGAGAGACAATAATGCCCCGATGATCAGATGTGAGAGGTTGACCATGGCGGGTCAGAGGAGAGGTAGAGGGAGACCTAGGAAGTACCGGGGAGAGGTGACTACTTTAGCTTACCGAGGACATAACCCTCGATAGGAAGGTGTGGAGGTCGAGAATTAGGGTGGTGGGTTGACAGGTAGTCGTGAGTCTCTTCTAGTCGTACTAGTAGTATTATTACTAGATTTGTATTCTCATATTCCGTGTTCCTTATTGTTAGATGATGTAACATTATTGCCGGTAGTTTTCGCACTTCTCTTATAGCTTCGTATTCCTAGATTCTTTGTCATTACATGTTGTGCTATTTGTTTCTCTTATCTTATTTCCTTGCCATTATTACTGTTTGTTTATTGTATCCTTTTTACTATCTTGAGCCGAGTGTCTATCAAAAACAACGTTTCTTCCTTCATAAGGTATAGATAAGGTCTGCGTACACATTATCCTCCCCAGACCCCACGTGTGAAATTTCACTATTTTGTTGTTGATGTTGGTGTTGTTGCTATATAGGCACATTGACTTTGAAAACTTAAATTTAAATTGCTATTATTAGTGTTAATTCTAAAAGGGATTTTTTCATTCCTACACTATTGGAAAATTTATTACGCTAAATGTTCATGTTTAGTAAATTACCTTACCTACACAAGTTTTGTTTACAAAAAATATATATTCCACCTTAAAAGGCTCTTAATCCATTATTAGTGCTTTCAATTAAGGGATTTAGTTACACAATTTTCCTTTTTTTTCACATATTTTCCCTTTTCTCTCTCGATGTTCCACCCACACTCCAAATAATTTTTTGCGTGAGTTTTAATAAATATACCGTCGATATGTTTTCCTATCAAAATGAAACAGATCACGCCCTGAGCTATTTTAGAAAGTTATCATTCCTCCTTCAAGTTTTAATCATTCATAAATATCTAAGAGTTTGGACTATAAACAGATAAACGGTAAAAGTTCAACTGCTTTTGCTTACAATCCTGCGGGGCACGAAGTTACCTCCACTGTGCATAATCTTAAATTATGTTGACACAAACAAAAATTAAAACAGCGATGAACATAAAAAGTGAAAAATATAATTACTTTACCTTTAGCATTTTTTTTAATTACTTTTCTTGCTCGTCAGATTCTTATGAAGGTATTTTATGAAGAAACAGTGATATAACTGTCGAACTAAACTTAATTTGTGTCCAAAACAAATTTCATTATCCTAAAAATGAACCTTTCCAACATATTATAATCTACATAAAATCATCCATGAACTGTTTCATATTCTATAACGCGATATGTCGGGACAACTCCACATCCCTATGGGGTAAAATTGTTGGCTGAAGTAGATAGAAAGGTGATTACAGAACCAAAACTATATTGTTATTGTAGTAGCCGTGAGAGTTTGGAATTAAGCTGCAAGGCACTATACGTTCTTTCTATTCTGTTCTAAACGAACTTCGATACAACTAAATAATTTTTATACAATTTTATAAAATACATTTTTTGTATATTTTGTATCTGATTTATACATAGTAAAAACAAATTTCATACAACTAATTATATATTATACAATTTATCTACAACTTTCATACATTATTTCTACCCAGTTATATACAACTGCAATATAATACCACTTAAATATACTCTTTATACAATATGTCTTTTGTATATTTTGTATCTAATTTATACATAGTAAAAACAAATTTCGTACAACTATTTATATATTATAGTACAATTTATCTACAACTTTCACACATTAGTTTTACCCAATTAAATACAACTACAATAACATACAACTTAAATTCAAACTTTATTCAATATGTCTTTTGTATATTTTGTATCTGATTTATACATAGTAAAAATAAATTTCATACAACTAATTATATATTATACAACTTATCTATAATTTTCATACATTATTTCTACTCAGTTATATACAACTATAATATCATACAACTTAAATATAATTTTTATACAATGTGTTCAATTTTCATACAATAGTTAAATGAATAAAAGAAAAATAAATAAACAACAAAATACATTTTTTCTACAATTTTTGCAATATAATGTATGTCATGTCTTCTTCTCCTTCTTCGAGTTTCAATCTGAAATTCAGCAAAAACTAAGTCTAATCTTCACCAAAACCCCTCAAAATTGAGATATAAACTTCAAACCATATTCCCAATTATATGTAACAACACTCAATCCAAACAAATAATGATTTTTGAAAACCCAAATTCGAATTCAAAGCTTCAAAGCTTTTTAATGGCTGTCAATGGTAGAATTGTTGCTCTCTTTTTCTTTGCTTTACATTATTGACATTTGGGATTGAGAGATAGAGAGAGACGTAGAGAGAATTCTTGTGACGACCCAAAGGGTCATCGCCGTAATTCTTCCTAGTTCCGTGCTTCCGAGGCCCTGAAAACCTCGCTTTTAGTTGTCTCAATTTGCGTGCGTAGTTCGGGCGCGTAGCTAGAAAGTTTTTATGTTAGAATATGTGAATTTTGTGAAAACTTTGATGAATTTCGATATTAATATGCATATTATTGACTTCGGTCAATATTTTGGGTAAACGGACCCGAACTGTGATTCGACGGTCCCGAAGGCTCCGTAGGAAAATATGGGACTTGGGCGTGTGCCCAGAATTAAATTCCGAGGTCCCAAGCCCGAGAAATGAATTTTTGTGTGAAATTGTTTTCTGAAATTTATTAAGGAAAATGAAGAAGAAAATTGATCGGAAAACTATGGTATCAGGCTCGTATTTTGGTTCCGACGCCCGGTACGAGTCTTAAATATGTTTTAAGCACTATCTGTAAAGTTTGGCTAAAAACGGACGTCATATGACGTGTTTCGGACTTAAAATGGGGAATTTGAGTTTTTATGAAGGTTGAAAGAAAATTATGTATTTTGAGGCTTGATCATATGTATATGATGTTATTTTGGCGATTTGATCGCATAAATGAGACCGTAAGATGTTTTTAAGATCATATGTATGTTTGGTTTGGAGCCCCGAGGG